CCCCCCCCCCCCCCCCCCCCCCCCCCCCCCCCCCGAAAAAAAAAAAACCTTTGGGAATTTATTCCCCCACCAGCAAACCCCTCCGGTTGCGTGGCGGTAGCGCGGGTTGGGGTGCCGAGGTTGGGAAGGGGCTGCACTCCCACTGCCGCTTGCCTGCCTGCTCCCGCTGCCTCCTCCTCCGCTGCATTGCTCCGAAGTCACAGCGGTACCGGAGCCGCCGCCGCCGCCGTGCCAGGGCCGCCCAGTGTCGGGACCGCCGGAGCCGGCACCGCCGCTCCTCCCCTCCTCTGCAAAATCTGCCCCCCCACATCCTTTCTCCCACGGGAACCGTCTCCGATAGCCCCTCCACCCCCACCACTCCGGCACATCTGTGCGCAGGTCGGGGTTTATCGGATCTCTTTCTGCCCGCCCTTAAATTCCTGCCCCCCGCAGGATGTTCTTTGCTGTCCCCTCCCGGGGTACAGGTGGCCCCCCGGCACACCCTCAGACCCGATCCCATGGGGAAACTGGGTGTCCCACTCCCTCCGGGGTGTGTTTCACCCCTTATTTCCTTACCTTTTGCAATAGCCCCTCGCAGTCATCAGTGCAGGGGGGGTTGCTGTGCTCCGGGCTTACAGCTCCGAGCTGAGAGCAGGGATGGGTGATAAGGGGGCACGGGGCAGGGGATGGGGGAGCACATTCCCCCCGAAACCAAGTGTGCCATAAGGGACTTGCTGAGACTGTCTGCAGGATGCAGGGGAACGTGAGGAGCAGAGGACAGTCCAAGTTTCCTACTGGAGCAATGGTGAATAGGTGACTTTTTGGGGAGGGGTGGCAGTGGGGTCACAGCCCCATCCGTGCTGTGGGTGACCCACTCCCATCCCTTCTGTGCTGCCGAGCAGAACAACACTGGCAGGGAAAAGGAGAGTTAAAACTTCCTCCCTCCCTCCCTTCCATTCCAGCAGGGAAATCTGTACAAATCCAGTGTTATCCTGGCATTTCGGGGCTGGGGCTGGGGCTGGCAGAGCCTGCACGGGCTGGCACGGCCCTCCCTGCTGCGCTGAGACCGCGCCAACTCACTGCAGCCTAAGGAACGACGCCAGATCCCACGGAGCGAGGCCGTGCTGCTGCCTCCTGGTGCTGGGCCTTAGGGATGAAAGCTACGAAAAGCGGACAGCAATGGGACGCGGCACTCCTCACCCTATGTTGTCACTTTTAGAGACCCGGTGACACCCGTCCAACTCATTGCATCCGTTCTTTGCCAGGGCTGGAGCAGAGCGGACCGCGTGCGGGGCGGGATGGCGGCGGTGGGACGGGTTGGAGGACGGGGAAACTGAGGCACAAGGGCGGCTCTGCGGGCGGAGCGCTCCCCGGAGGACGGCGGAGATAACGCTAAAAATACGCCGGGCGCTTTGTTACCGGCGACAATAGCCAGACGTATTTTTAGCTGTTGCGGCGTGAGCAGCGCTGTGACCCTCCCCGCTCCGCCCCGCCCCGCTGCCCCGGTCCGGCTCCCCACGGCCCCCGGGATTCGGGGCCGCTTCCCGGTGCTGTGGAAACGGTAACGTTAGAAACTAAACACAAACACCTCCCGGCTGCCACCCCCGGCTGAGTCACGGCGGTGCCGGCTGCCCCCGCCCCTACCTCCAGCTCCGTCCCCGCGCCCCATCCCTACCCCAAAACCAGTGCCCGACACCCCCCGGCCCAGCCCCATTCTGGGATTGCCCCCTACGGATGATGCTGCTTCTGCTTCCCCCCATCCCAGGACTCCGGGATTAAACCCTGCTGGGTGGCGCTGCTGTCCCCAACCCCATGCCATGGGGACACCTCTCACTGCCCCAAAGCAGATCCTGAGTGCTGCTCTAAAGCAGACCGAGTGGTGCCCAGCTTCCAGCCCTCGCCCCCAAACCCGCCGGCAGCTGCAGCTCTGGCACAGCTTCCGCCATCCCCATCCTGTGCCAGGGATAAAAATAAACAGGTAGAGGAAGGGAGAAGCAGCAGAGCCGCAGCACACTCCGACACTGGGACCTCTGCATGGGGATGGCCAGGCTATGGGGCTCTGCTCTGGTCCCCATTGCACTGAAGTGAGTATTCTTTTCCCACCTCATCACAGGACACAGGACAAGCAGGGATCCCACCTGTCTTGTGGGATCCATGAGGTCCTGCTGGGTTTTGGGGTCGTTTGGGGGAGCCGTGGTGCAAGGAGAGCTACAGCCCCATAGGTAGAGTCACACACACTGGGATGGCCACTGGGAAACAGCAATGGGGCAGCAGCTGTACCTCCTCCTTCCTACAATTGAGCAAAGAGTTCTGCAGCCGCAGGCGTGCCTATGTTGGGATGTTCTGGGGCTGAGGGCGGATTGCAGCACACGTCAATTAACACTGAACAGCTCTGGGTGTCGGCCCAGGCTGTTTTGCTGTTTTCATTTTTGCCAGTCCTGAAGCGTTTGCTGGGGGTGAGCACCCAAAGGCAGCTGATGCAGCCCACACTTCTTGACCACAGGGTTTTTTAATCCTCTCCATATCTTAGTGCCAGGCCCCAGCTCACAGCCCTGAAAATTATCTCAAAGAGGAACTTTTAAATAAAAGTTGTGAGCCTGTCTGCCTGTGTGCGTGTTCGATTGTGTTCCCCCTATTCCAGCTGCCTGTAAATTTAGCTTTTTCCATCTCCGGTTGTTGGAGCTGGGCTGGTAGCCAAAGCCCTGCACAGCGCCATGCAGGATGTGATCCCCATCCTTGCATGGGTGAGCAGGTGTGCAAAATACGTGTGCAAGGGCAGGGGGTGTGTATGCACAGGTGCCCACCCAGGGCTGTGCACACGCATGGGGGGGGAGGGGGTTCATGCAGGAGAACACGGGTGGACAGCAGTGAGCTGTAAGTAAGTTCCACCAGAGGGTGCCCTGCATCCACGGCACCTCAAACTGTGCCTCACAGAGGTATGTGGGGTGGGGGACGATGGGGTGTCCTTGCCCTGCGGTGTGTGGGCTGGGGGCTTGGGGCTCTGGCATGACCCCCTCCTCCCCTTGCTCATTGCAACTAGGCTGAGACCCGAGCAACACAGCTAACAGCAAGGAGTGGAGGGAGCAGGGATTTCTGCTTTTTGCCCCTTCCCAGCACTGTGAGCTTAGGGGATAGCACTGTTCTATATGTATGGGTCAGCCTCAATCTCCTCATGGCCTCCCCAGCACAGAGAAGCAGGCCCTAGGCAATGGTCCCAGCCCCTCCCACCACCAGCCCAGCCCCTGATCACAGCTGGAGCACAGCTGTCCTTCACTCCTCGCCCCAGCACTGCCGTTCCCACTTTGGGATGGCAGTAGTCCGGGTGGACCTTGGTGAGCCACTATGGGGCCGGGCAGGGGGATTGGGGCCCGCCTGGCCCTGCAGCTCCTTGAAACCAGCCTGACTTGCTGGGGAGGCCAGACCTGCTTGAGGACTGGGGTTTCCATGGTTGGGCAAACCTTCCCCCCAGGATGGGCCCCATCCCAAAACATAAGGGACCCCTTTAGTACCCTCTCATTGCTGCTAGGTGGGTCCCCATGGAGAGTGTGGATATCCAAAGGCACAAGACCTGCAGCCCCACTTTTTCTGGCCACCCCAGAAAGAGACATTGTGCCTTTAAGACAAAGCGCAGGGCACAAAGCAGCTTTGTGTCCTGACTTGCTGAGTTTCCCCAGCACGGCTTTGTCCCGGGACATGTATGGGCACAGCGTGCTCAGCAGCACTCATAGCTGCTGGACTGCAATGCAGGACAGACCCAAAGCAGGGCAGGGATCAGAAGCAGCAGAGATGACTAGAACACATTGCTGGGCACGGCACAGAGACCGGCACGGTGACAAGGGGACAAGAGATGGGGTTGCTTTGGCAATGCAGTGGGGGATAACAGAGCAAAGCCATCCGTCCATCCACCCATCTGCCCCCATGTCCACAGTGCCACCCCACCCCATTCCCACCCACCCTGCACACAGGGGCTCTCCGAGGGGTTTCACCCCACCGGGCCGTGCGACCTCAGAGAGACGTTCTGGTCCCCCAGCAGCTACGGCGGGACGGCGTTGACCCCATTGGCCGTGACATGACCCCACAGATGCCCCATAGTGGCGCGATGGGGACGTTGGTGTCCCCGTGCCATGGAGGCCGCTCCGCACGGCATCCCGCTGCCCTCCGTGTTTTCCCTGCAGCCTTTTGTGTGCGTGGCGGCGTGGCGGCGCTCGGGTAGGCCGCATGGCGCCCGGCCTTCCCCACCTCCGTCCTCCTCCTCCCCCCGATCCCCGCCTCCCTCGGCCGCCATTTCGCAGCGCCGGCCTCGCCTGCTCTCCACATCATGGAGGACCGCAGCAAAGGGGGGGAAACAAAGAGCCGCGGCCTATGCTGCTGCCCCACGCATCCCCTCCTGCCGCGTGGGACAGCGGGGCACTGCGCAGGCATTAAACGTTCCTTTCTGTACCCTTCCTTGTGAAGGGGCTCGGCAGCACAGCGCCGTGCCGGTGGGATGCTCTGAGCCCACATCCCACAGAGGGGCTCGGAGCAGGGAGCCACGTCCCCAGCATGCATGCAATGATGGCCACGGGGACCCGCAGGGCACCCACCTCTGCCCAGCAGCGCAGGGCAGGTTCATTTTTCAGGCAGAAATAAAGGTCAGAATCAGGCACAGAGAATTGAGTTCTTCCGGTTCTGGAGTGACCCAAAAGCACCAAGTCAGGTCCCAACCACCGGTGCTATCTGCAAAATCCTACACCCCAGGGGAGCTCCTTTTCCCTTGGCCTTCAGGTCCTTTTTTAAGCTTCCCTCTGTGACTGCAAAGACTGAGAGAGCCAAAATCCTGCATGCTGCGTACCAGGGTGCTTAGAGAAACACTGAGCAATGGGGACAGTACAAAGCATGCACCCCACGTACCCACAGCACTTCCCATAAAGCAGAATACTCCATTTCCTGGTCAGGATGGGAAACGCTGAGGGCAGCACTGGGCTGGCGGAGTCCCAGCAATGACAACAAGAGGAATAGGCATTTAGGACCCCCAGGAGGGTGCTACTGCAGGGCAGTGCCAACCTGCCATTCCAGCAGCATGGTATCACTGCTGCACACGGATCCATCACAGCCGGGCTCAGTGCCAGGGCAGTGCTCAGCCCCCAGCACAGCACAGCAGCCCACGTAACAGCCCTCAGGCTGCCTTGCCTTCCCCGTGCCCCACTACCCTAATTCCAGGCAGCTGCTCAGCTTCCCACTGCAAAGGCTCTTTCCAAAGTCTTGTTTATCTAAAAAAATTATCTGCTTTTTCTTTTTCTTTTTTTTTTCCTAAGACTGAGGACAATAACATTTCCAGAATGGATCAAAGCTTATCCTGGAAGCAGGGCACATTGGACAGTTGGACACTGTTTGTTGCTTCTCCACTGTCTAATATGGGGCTGTGCTGCAGGGCACCCCCAGGAAGAATCCACCCCACCCCAGCTGCACTTTGCCCAGCCCTGCTGACCTGAGCATGTTTGCAGATTCCTGCCCCTCCATTCACTGGGATGGAAATGTGGTCAAAGTTTATTAGAAAAGTACCAGCCACGCATGTGCATATGTGCCTGTGCATATATCTAAGCAAAGCACAACCTTTGTTTTGTTTTCTTAGGAAGCTACTCTGCAAAGCAAGGCCACAAGCAGAGGAAGCCAACAGGCAGGAAGGCAACTGACTGTGTTTGTGCTTCCAAATGTGTGCTGTGCTCAGCATGGGATGGCAGGGGGAAAGGAGGACGTAGGGGCTGCGGGGGCAACAAAGTGCCACCAGCATAGTGACATTTCAGGAGACTTTATGATAGCCAAGCACTTGGACTCACGGGACAGTGTCTATCACCTCTGCAGTGACTCCAGCCCCAACCCAGGACAACCACAGGTCCAGGCCATAGTGGCCTGCAGCACTGGAAGAAGCCACAGCTCTGGGCAGGAACCAAAGTGGTGTCTCAGGGCCAGGAAAGCTGTGGTGACTCAAAGGCGAGAGGGGAAATTGAGCCTCACTTTGGCCCCCACAGCCTCTCAGCTGGTTTCCTGGCTCCTTTCAATTTGCATAACAGTCCTTGCACAGGGGGAGCAGCTGAGCTGTGTCCCTCCCCCCAGGGACGCTGTGAGTCCTACAGTGCAGCAGGATCCCAATGTCAGCCCTGGCTCTTGCTCCTGCCAATGGCTTCCTGTATGCTTGCAAGCATCGGCCCTTAGGA